AAAATTTTTCCATTTTTTCTTATCAACCAATAAAATCCTTATAAAAAAATATTTGACTGAAATAAAAAAAATGTATTATTCAATTGATAAATTTATTAAACCACTTTTACTGCATACAATCAATAAAAATACTCAGAAAGACATGAGAATTTAAAGAGTTTCACAATTTATAGCCAATATAATACAATGCATGCAATATTCTTTCCATTCAGGTATTCAAAATATCACTTGGATAGTGTGGAATTTACAAGCACACAAACAGAATGTCCATCATTCTGAGTTAGTAGTTATATATCAGCCACATACAAATCGACTTTTAAGGTTGTTTTCATATTGTATTTACTTTCACCAGACCTGAATTAAATTAAATAAGTAAGGGGGTTATATAGGGGATTCAAAAAAAAAAAAAAAAAAAAAAAGAAAATAAATATATTTATACAAAATGTTGATCTCACCACAGCCAGAAACTTATTTCTTTATTTTTAAATTTTTTTTATTTATTTTTTTGTTTTTGATTTTAAACTCACTTAAAATCTTCAAAATTTATTTAGGGGAGGGGGGGTAGAGACAAAATGCAGAAATTAAAACATGCACAAAATCAGAGATCTCTGGCACATTGCATGATGATAATGATGATGATAACTCCTTTGGAGTTTCGTTCAAACATGTGTTTAGCTAAATGGTCTTCTTTTTATGTGCCATGTCCCTTGAGGACATAAAGGCCCTCCACATCTTCCTGTCCCTTGTAGCTCTTAAGTCTTGTCTTTTTATCATTTCTATCAAACCCTGTTCTGCAATCCATTTGCTCAAGCACATCAAGTATGTTACATGCTGTTTTCCTCTGTCCTTCAATCTGTCCTATGAGTATGGGATTTTCCAAACACTCCTTCCTCATTATGTGTCCCAGAAATTTGAACTGTCTCTTCATAATGTTAAGTACAAGTTTCCTTTTAGTTTCCAAAAAGCTTGTTGTTGCTCACATGTTCGACCCATAGTATCCTCGGCATCTTTCTGTAGAACCATATTTAATTTATGTTGCTTCAAGTCTCTTCTTTATCTTTAAGGAGATTGTCCAGCATTTGCTGCCATACAGGAAGAAAGATATCATGTAACAGTTCAGTACTCTTTTCTCTGTTTCTAGTGAAATTTTTCTGTAGTGGTCTCAAAATGAGCTGGTAGCTTCCAATTTGAAAAGAAAGAAAAAAATAAAAAAAGAGAAAGAAGAAGAAAAAAAAGAGAAAGAAGAAAAAAAAAAGAGAAAGAAAAAAAAGAGATCTGTCTGACCTCCTCCACTGTTTATTGCTGAGGCATTTATGTCAATAAAAATAGCCTCAAAGAAACATTAGATAACTAACTGATCTGAAGTATTTGTGGTTTTAATTGTGGTGCTGAATATATTAACATTTCGGCAATGTTTAATGTTCATGCCCACAAAAAAAAAAAAAAAAAAAATCAGTGTCAAAAGGACAGTTATTCCCCTGACACTGCTATTACTGTATTCACTTTTGGATCCCTCAGCAATATTTGTTTTAGAAAGCAATGATAAAAATTTTAATAAAACCCAAATATATGAAAGTGGAATTATACATTTTCTTTGTGTAAAAAATTCAGATAGAGTATATCTGTAAAAGGACAATATGAATAAATTACATTTGCCTTGATAAAGTCTCTCAGAGGACAAAATGTGTCAGCTAAGATAAGTTTTCCTTTCGTCTTTATTCATTTTCTTTATTCTTGAAAATGGGCAATGAAAATATTAAACACTGTTAAATTGAATAAAAAAAAAAAAAAAAAAAACTTGCTTTTATAATTATTTATAAAGTAATAAATAATAAATATTGTATTGTAGAAGGTTTACATATTTTGATAATTTTGTATTTTTATATATCGTGGCATAGAGATTTCTTTTTAAATTTATTTCTTGATAAAATGGTAAATATGCTCACATAAACACACATACAAAAATATGCACATATACAGAAAAAAAAAAAAAAAAATCAAACTAACATCAAGAAAAAGCGCATAAATTATTCTTTAACTTAATATGAACATAACGAAAATGAGAAAATCAGCAGTCAATTGCTGTTACCTCCTGACAAGTTGCCTGAATGATTACAAAACAGGTTTGTCTCCAAAACTCTAGGGTCAGAGTGCTGAATAATAACATCAATCAGCTAAGTAACATATTTTATATTTGTATTAAGCTTAAAAGTTAAATAATAAATATTGCATTTTACTTGGTTTACAGATTTTTAAAATCATGTAAATAAACATTGCCAAGGGAGTCAAAAGTATATACAGTAATCAGTGTCAAGGGAACAACCATCCTTTAACACAGTTTTTTTTTTGTGAGCACAAAGGTTAAATATTGTCAACATTTCTTATTATTATTCAGATTTATTTGAAAAGAAAAAAAAAATGGTAGAAGGAAAAGGTCAACATAAGATTATTTACTGGTGACCTTTCAAGTGGAAAACTTTGGTAAATGTTATATTTGTCTGCCTGTAAAATATCCTTTAATATAAAAAAAACATTTAAAAAAAAAAAAGAAAGAAAGAAAGATATTAATTGATGTCATAAATAGTATCCATTTTTCTTTATCGATGATCTATTGTTCTTTTCACAAAGAATCCAAACACTCAGTTTTCATTTTATGTGATAAAAAAGTACATTTAAAAATAAAAACAGAGAGAAGATTAAAGGGAGATAACCATGTATTTGAAGTCATAACATTATCATTGATAACTCTTTCCTCCAATTTGCAGACCCAAGTTACTATATTCTTAATACTTGATATAATGCAAAAATATCACAATGTTAAAATTGGTCAGTAATTATTTATAACTATTTATACTGGGATTCATTCATGCAATTACAAGTAATTCATAATATTTTAAATTACATTTTTACTGAAAGTGTCTTTTTCAGACACAGACAAATAAAAACATCCAAAACATTCAAAAACCAGCTACAGATATGTTTATATGTTGATCTTGATTCATTTTATGCCCTTCTGAGCTTGAAACAAGTCTAATTGTCAACTCATATGTCTGGTAGAGGTGTTAGCCATAGCTCAGGTATTTCAAGGTGATTCAGTTTCATAGTTACTATATTAAAAACAAAAAAAAACAAAAAAATAAAACGTTTTTCCTCAAAATAATTGACAGGGATGTAGGTTAACAATATATATATATATATATATATATATATACACACACACATGTGCCCTAACTAAATTTCCTGTTTTGAGCTTAATTTTGAATTTAGTGAAAGTCTGACACGTAATTGGTTCATCAGGGTAAAGCCACAAGCCTCATGCGGAAATTAATTATCTTAGATTATTTTCAGGTCATTTCCTCTCTTTGTGTGTGTGTGTGTGTCCATGGCATTATTCACTCCCATAACATTATATAACATAAATGCATTTTCAATCCCTGCATTAGTGGGGGGGGGGGAGGTTTATGACCATATCACATTGAAACACCAGTTCTCATATGATCACAAAAGTTAAGCAATGTCAAGCCTGGTTAGTACCTAGATGGGTGACAGCTTGGGAATGCCAGGTGCTGTAAGCTTGGGTGCACAGTGGTTGTAATGGATAATGGCTTGGGAATTTTAAAATCAACGAGCCAACTTCCAATTTCAATTTACTCACACGCAAATATTATTGGAAATGGTGTGGATCCACCTCTTCTCCCCTCAGCTATGGGTTAATTAGCAGGATAATGGTTTGGAAATGGAAATTGGAGAACTGTTCCAGTTGAGTTTGTATTCACTTACATGCAAATACCCTTGGGATAAGTATGAATTCATCTCTTCTCATCTATGGGTTAATTAGCAGGACTTGTATCAGTAAATCATTATTATCTCAAAAAAACAATCCAAAAATATTTTCTGGCTTTAAATAACCTGCAAAAAGACAATCACTCCATTAATGGGGTTAAGAAATTTATTTTTTAATCAACTGTGTATGCTGCCAGTGCTGTGCAAAAAGTAAAATATATTAGTGTGCTACAAATTTATTCTTAACTGTCATGTAGGATTAGTAGTTGGGGTGATATATTTGTCATTACAATTGGTTCCCCAAAGTGGAAATTATTTATGACTAAACTTAATATTATATTGGATGTTATATGCTTTGTATTACAGCTCAAAAGCCAAACTTGAACTTCAAGTAGGCTGTTGGGAGGATTCATAATGATGATGAAAATTAGATGTGAGGATAGTGTAACAGAAATTGATGCAGAGAGTGAAATCGCCAAGCAGGGTTCAAATTCCAGCCTAGTCTGTTGCATTCACTTTGCAACAACTGCCTTTGGGAACTGCCTGAATCTGTCTGTTCTTCCCCCAGCTAAGGGGTAAATTTGGGGGAATGAAAGATGAGGATAAGGAGAATAGATAACAATAATTTTTCCCATTTAAAAAAAAAAAATAAATAAAAAGACTGACTTGCCATCTGTGCACACACTTTTTTAATACCAGAATTCACCCAATACAATGCTCGAGAGCCACTCAAGGTAGAGGGTTACAGTTATAATGATTATAATGAATGAGGCAAGTAATATGAATACAAGAGAAGGATAAGGAGGACAGATAACAATAATTTTTTGTTATAAAATGTTTAGCGATATATGGGAGCTAAATTCAATCCAACTCTGAAATTTAAACTGTAGAGATAGAAAATAGGAAACCACTTCACTATCTTTCCCAAGAATGCATGGCAATTCCCAAATAATAAAGAAAAGGAATCTGTGGAGAGTCATGATCGCCTATATCCTGAAGGGATATGGCATTTAGGAAAAGAAAAAGAAGTGGTGACATAAAGAAAACAAAAGATCGTAAAAATCTTATATGAATTTGGATGCTTATGGATTTATGATACAGGGTGTGGCAGAAATACCCCCTACATAATGGTAAGACATTAGCTAGATGCAGAAGACCATTGCCACTAATATCTTACCATTATGTAGGAAGTATTTTTGCTGCATACATGAACAGACTGGGATAGATAGATAGATAGATATGAACAGACTGGGATAGATAGATAGATAGATAGATATGAACAGACTGGGATAGATAGATAGATAGATAGATATGAACAGACTGGGATAGATAGATAGATAGATAGATATGAACAGACTGGGATAGATAGATAGATAGATAGATATGAACAGACTGGGATAGATAGATAGATAGATATGAACAGACTGGGATAGATAGATAGATAGATAGATATGAACAGACTGGGATAGATAGATAGATAGATAGATATGAACAGACTGGGATAGATAGATAGATAGATAGATATGAACAGACTGGGATAGATAGATAGATAGATAGATATGAACAGACTGGGATAGATAGATAGATAGATAGATATGAACAGACTGGGATAGATAGATAGATAGATAGATATGAACAGACTGGGATAGATAGATAGATAGATAGATATGAACAGACTGGGATAGATAGATAGATAGATAGATATGAAACAGACTGGGATAGATAGATAGATAGATAGATATGAACAGACTGGGATAGATAGATAGATAGATAGATATGAACAGACTGGGATAGATAGATAGATAGATAGATATGAACAGACTGGGATAGATAGATAGATAGATAGATATGAACAGACTGGGATAGATAGATAGATAGATAGATATGAACAGACTGGGATAGATAGATAGATAGATAGATATGAACAGACTGGGATAGATAGATAGATAGATAGATATGAACAGACTGGGATAGATAGATAGATAGATAGATATGAACAGACTGGGATAGATAGATAGATAGATAGATATGAACAGACTGGGATAGATAGATAGATAGATAGATATGAACAGACTGGGATAGATAGATAGATAGATAGATATGAACAGACTGGGATAGATAGATAGATAGATAGATATGAACAGACTGGGATAGATAGATAGATAGATAGATATGAACAGACTGGGATAGATAGATAGATAGATAGATATGAACAGACTGGGATAGATAGATAGATAGATAGATATGAACAGACTGGGATAGATAGATAGATAGATAGATATGAACAGACTGGGATAGATAGATAGATAGATAGATATGAACAGACTGGGATAGATAGATAGATAGATAGATATGAACAGACTGGGATAGATAGATAGATAGATAGATATGAACAGACTGGGATAGATAGATAGATAGATAGATATGAACAGACTGGGATAGATAGATAGATAGATAGATAGATATGAACAGACTGGGATAGATAGATAGATAGATAGATATGAACAGACTGGGATAGATAGATAGATAGATAGATATGAACAGACTGGGATAGATAGATAGATAGATAGATATGAACAGACTGGGATAGGGATAGATAGATAGATATGAACAGACTGGGATAGATAGATAGATAGATAGATATGAACAGACTGGGATAGATAGATAGATAGATAGATATGAACAGACTGGGATAGATAGATAGATAGATAGATATGAACAGACTGGGATAGATAGATAGATAGATAGATATGAACAGACTGGGATAGATAGATAGATAGATAGATATGAACAGACTGGGATAGATAGATAGATAGATAGATATGAACAGACTGGGATAGATAGATAGATATGAACAGACTGGGATAGATAGATAGATATGAACAGACTGGGATAGATAGATAGATATGAACAGACTGGGATAGATAGATAGATATGAACAGACTGGGATAGATAGATAGATATGAACAGACTGGGATAGATAGATAGATAGATATGAACAGACTGGGATAGATAGATAGATAGATATGAACAGACTGGGATTGATAGATAGATAGATATGAACAGACTGGGATTGATAGATAGATAGATATGAACAGACTGGGATTGATAGATAGATAGATATGAACAGACTGGGATTGATAGATAGATAGATATGAACAGACTGGGATTGATAGATAGATAGATATGAACAGACTGGGATTGATAGATAGATAGATATGAACAGACTGGGATTGATAGATAGATAGATATGAACAGACTGGGATTGATAGATAGATAGATATGAACAGACTGGGATTGATAGATAGATAGATATGAACAGACTGGGATTGATAGATAGATAGATATGAACAGACTGGGATTGATAGATAGATAGATATGAACAGACTGGGATTGATAGATAGATAGATATGAACAGACTGGGATTGATAGATAGATAGATATGAACAGACTGGGATTGATAGATAGATAGATATGAACAGACTGGGATTGATAGATAGATAGATATGAACAGACTGGGATTGATAGATAGATAGATATGAACAGACTGGGATTGATAGATAGATAGATATGAACAGACTGGGATTGATAGATAGATAGATATGAACAGACTGGGATTGATAGATAGATAGATATGAACAGACTGGGATTGATAGATAGATAGATAGATAGATAGATATGAACAGACTGGGATAGATAGATAGATAGATAGATATGAACAGACTGGGATTGATAGATAGATAGATAGATAGATAGATATGAACAGACTGGGATAGATAGATAGATAGATATGAACAGACTGGGATTGATAGATAGATAGATAGATAGATAGATATGAACAGACTGGGATAGATAGATAGATAGATAGATAGATAGATATGAACAGACTGGGATAGATAGATAGATAGATAGATAGATAGATAGAGTTGCAACTTGCCATGTGTACACACATTTTTTTCAATACCAGAATTCACCCAATACAATGCTTGAAAGCCACTCAAGCCAGGAGGTTATTGTTATAATGAATGAAGCAAGTGACATTAATGCAAGAGAAGGATAAAATTATGATAAGGAGGATAGATAATGATATTTTTTTTTCCTGTTATAAAAATATTTAGTCATCTGAGCTAAATTCAATCCAACACTAAAATACAGTTTCATCATCAAACTTTTTCATGAACATACCAAAAAAAAAAAAAAAAAAAAAATGATCAAAAGTATTAAAAAAGGAATAGTAGATGTTTATATTACAGGAATATATTTTACGAGTTGATTTTAATCAGCGTCATTAGCCTAACAACTGAGAGAGGACATCCTGGTTATTTTAACAAATATAAAAATAAAATAAAAAAAGAATTTTGTCTGACAAAGGTATTTTTGAAAATCAATCAGGATTCTAACAGATTTGTTCATTTTTTTTTTCTTTTTTGCACAGAACATGAATAAAAACTGACAAAAACATCCATATCGAAAATTTTGAAAGCTTAAAAAAGGCAAATTATTGGGTTGAAAGAAAAATTTCTTGTGGTTTCTAAATAAATTAAATGTTCTACAAACTGCAAGATGATAAGGATGTTTTGAGGATTGTGAAACCACCTCTTATATTACTAGTGTTCCTAGATCTACCCTGACTCAGGGTGGTAGCACCTGTTAGGGTCCCAGCTATGGGCAAATAGTTAACCTCCAAACTGGGGTCAAAATACTATGAGAGTGTAAAAATATGTTTTAATACCAGCAAAACATTTCTGGAAAAAAAATATTACCAGCAATACATTTTTGAAAAAAGAAAAAAAAAAAAAGACATTATCAGCAATAAAAATCTTGTCGGCATTAAATAACTAATTGAGGTTGATAAGCCATAAAACAAACCAAAATTCAAGAACTTTAATTCCAAGTAGAGAGCTTACTGTTCCCAAGATGACAAACTCGTTAACCATAGAAAAGCATTCAAGTTGGTTCACAAAATGAACTTGACCCACATCAGGTGACTTATAATTGTAGTTTTGTGCCCAACTTGATAGAGACAGTCTCAATAAGGAAAAGCAATGAACAAGAATAATATAGATGTCAATCAGGACTATCCTATGAATATCATTTTTATTTTTTAATCAATTCATGCCAAGCAAGGTGATAATGCCACTAAGATGCAAGGGGTTACTGGGAATGAAAGATAATGAAAAAAAACATTAGAAGGAACCAGAAAACCCAATCTTAAACAGGAAATAAGGGATAAACTTCTACTGTTCAAAAAGACCAGAGAGAAGTGTGAACCAGACAATAGGCAAACTTATCTACTCCTATTGAGGAGAAGAAAAAACATAATTAGTAAATAAAATTTCCGAGTTCAAGAAAAGATTTTAGAGATATAGACTTCAGAACTGGAGCCCCAATTCTAAAAAGGAAACAAGAGATAAACCTCTATTCCTGTTCAAAAGACTGGAGAGGAGTCTGAACCAGATGATAGGCAAATCTATCTACTCCTATTGAAGAAAAAATAAAATAATATAAATTTCAGAGTTTACGTGGAGATGTTAGAAGCATAGAGTTAAAGTAGACTTTAGAAGAAATCAGAAACCCAATCCTAAACAGGAAACAAGAGATAAACCTGTTCAAAAGACCTGGGAGGAGTGTGAACCAGGCAATAAAGTGAACCTATCTACTCCTTATGGTTTATCAAGTGATTTATGATATCATAAAGACAAATTTTCATATCTTTTAATCACATGTCCAGTTTTGTTCCAATGGCTTCATCATTACTTTTAAGTACTAAATAAAGGGGAAATTTGGAATAGTAGGAGTTTGTGAAAGAAACGCTAAAATATAATAAGCAGGTGGGGAATCAGAATAAAATCAGTGAGAATATTTCAGAAGACACATGATGAAATTGTCCAGAATGAATCTTCTTGAAAATATAATAATAATAATAATGATGATGATAAGAAGAAGAAGGAGAAGAAGAAGAAGAAAAAGAAATACAGGTTCCACGCTGTTTTTCTGTCAAACTTCAAAGATTATCCATTTTGCCAGACTATCACCACTTAGGTTAGAGAGTGCACTCATTTAAAAAACAAAAAAGAAAAAAAAAGAGGGAACATTTTTTTAGAGGCAAATGTTTAACTTTTGCCAGCTAACATCTTTAACACTTTCACGAACCACATTTGTCATAATTGGAAAAAAAATACAGCATCAAATCAATCTCTGAATTCTTAAAGAGTTATCTGTGCTTTGTTTTTATTTACAAATGTTAAGTTTGAAATTGTGCTAACATAACTGTATAGTAATGATGTTGTCTTCCCCCACCCCTCAGTACACAATTATCAGTAACATAAGCAGTTTCAAACTTGACATTTGTAAATAAAAATTAAGTTCAGATAACACTTTAAGAAGTTTAACACTGTATTCTTATTATGAACAGGACCCCCATCTAAACTGACAAAAATAAAATATATATTTTAAATTCTAACAAATGTCATGGACATATGAATGCTAATCTATAAAAATTGTTAAAAAAAATCAAAACAATTCTTCCCTGTTTTTTATAAGTGGACCAGTTAATTTAAATAAGGCCTACAAACAGAAGTCTCTTAATAACAATTCAATAACACACCTCTAACCAACTAATTATACGTCTCTCGTATCCTTACAGCATCATTATTAGAAACTAAAATTTATCAGAAATAGGTGATACACTTGTATTTAAAGACATTATTGGTTAGGATAGCAGAGATGTCTATTCAGAACATTGGAGTACCAACATTAATTTATATACAAATCAATCAACATATCAGCTGTGTGCAGTGGTTAGCATACTGGCATCACGAACCATAGGTAGTGAGTTCAATTCTCATTGCTTGTTAAAAGTAAACTTGTGGCTGAACTGGGTTACTTAAAGAAAGGATTTTTTGTTAAACAATTGAAACTAGTTTTTCTTACAGGCAAAACATATCTAATGTATTATACTAAAAGAAACTTCATGATTAACAAAAACACAGTTAAGTCAATAAAGGTGACCTAATCACTAATAACTGAGAAATACCAAAATAAATCAATGGAATAATTAAAAGAAAACATTGAAATATTTTGGTTATTTCTTTAAACCTTTTCATCATGAGTAAAAAGGAAATAAATTATCTTAAGAGTGTAAATTAGACTACATGAAAAATAAAATGGAAAAATACAAAAATCATTTACAATGCTTTTTACGGTAAAGCTGTTTGAAATGGGGTTTTTTTTATAGTAAAATCATTTGCAATGCTTTTTATAGTAAAATCATTTGCAATGATTATAAAAATAATAATTATGCATAACAATTTTTTTTAAATTCTTAAAAAGTAAAAATATATGTTATATTAAGTTGTTAGCTATATCTAATGAAATGTCATATCAGCTGATTTGATTGGATGTGAATTGTCATGTGACAAAAAGTATTTCCAATTTTTGATGAGTCATCATTTCTGAATCACAAGTTTTTGATGCATTTAAGCAATTTTACCAGGAACTCAAGTTAACAAAAGTATATTATAAATAAGTATCTTCTAATAAGCTGTTCCACCTATTAATTAAAATGAGCTTTTCCAAATTCAAACTCAACTGGAATTTGAACTCAGCTCTCCAATTTATCCATTATATCGCATCACACATCCAAGCTTGCAGCACATGGTATTCCCAAGTGGTCACCCATCTAAGTACTGATCAGGGTCAACTTTGTTTAACTTTGGTGATGGAACAAGAATATGGCCATGAATATGGGTAAATAGCAAGACTGACTGGGCTTTTTTTTGGCAACCATTCTAGCAGAAGGAAAACTCTGAATAAGTTTGAAGGTTGGCAGAGGAGACAAGCTTCTTATAGGAGCCAATGACCAGTTTAAACAATTCACTTGTACAGGATGTATGGTAAAAACTTAGAATTTACTGAACCTTTGCCTGTTCTTGACATATTTGGGGATTATGTATAAAAGATGTATCAGGTGCACAGTTTCAGAAAAAAAAAAAAAAGTTTTATTTTGATTTAAAAAAAAAAAAGAAAAGAAAAAACAAAATGTGACATTTTTTTGTATTAAAATCAATGAACACTGACATTTATATATCAAGACAGATAAAAATTTTCAGTGATGATTCCACAGCAAGGTGAGGCTGTAAACTCTGCTCGACAGGGAAGTTGAGAGGCTTAATATTGCTTACTATACTTGAACTAAATATATTATTTCAGTATTATAGAACAAGATAAAAATTTTCTAGCCTGAAACATGATGTGGCTTCCTTCTGTCTTTTCTATAAATATTTGCATGACAGTTGTTCTAATGAGATCTCCTTGGTACCTCAATGGCATAAATTTAAGTGTACTACTAGATTGGCAACAAGTTTTTACTGTTGAAATAGCTAGCTGTAACAGTTTTATTCTAATAATTTCTTTCCTTGCATTTTCCACTTGTGGAACTCTTCTGGTTCCTTGCTCCCCTACCACCTACGATCTCCAAATATTTGAATACAATGCTATCTTCTTGAATCCTGTTCTTTTATTGTCCTTTCTTTTCAAAGTCTTCTCTTTCACTCTCAATAACATTTTGCATGTTAGCAACATTATTACTTTGTTTGGCATGAAATGATTTAAAAAAAAAAAAAAAAAAGGAACAAAAAAATCATGTAAATATACATGTGACAGCTTTTAAATATCAATAAACATGTGAAATTTTAACTGTATTGTGAGATTAAATTAATATATCCCCATGCACTTGCAAAATATATTGTAAGTCATATATTCAAAGACAAGCACTGAAGTTTTAGATAGATAAATAGGGCATATGAATAGAGAGATATTAGATGTATTATCTACACTCACAAACATTCTAGATCTTAATGGTTGTACACATTTTGACTGTCAACCACTAAAAATGCTCCCAGTTAGGCCCCACAGTTCCTAAAAGCCAGTCCTGTTTGCAAGACACTGCTTTCTCACCATGACTATAGTGTGTGTATATATATATATATATATATATATATATATATATATATATATATATAAAAATTATCTGCACTTTCACCATAAGTCTTTAGGTTTGTCATACTGTCTCCTGCTCATGCCAGTTTTCATGCTGTTGTTACAGTATAAGCAAGGCTGCTCCACTAGCAGTCAATAAATGCTACCAGTACCATGTAACCTAAGAGTAACTGACACATGGTCAAGGTCATCAGTGACTAAACTTGTTCACACATCAAGCTTTTCTAATGAGGGATGTGGCTAGACACCCAACAGGGTTAAATAAGGCAGATGACCCATCATGTAGGGTCAAAGGCCAATTAGCACAATGTGGTAGACTGCACTTCATAGCTATGGATGCAACCAATGTGATGATGACATGGCATCACTGGGCGATGTGTTTCCTAGGCTGAAGTCACTGCACAGGGTGTAGAATCAATGGCCACATATTCATGACCAAGGTGATGTTGGAAGACATCAACCATGGCTCGGTTTGTAGAGGGACAGACTCTGTCAGGTCTATTTGCTCAAAACATGCTGCACATGAATACCTTTCTGTAATCAAACATGCCACATCTAAAACTATGGAGAAAGCAATGAAAAACCAATCCACTATCTTTCCCTGTAAGTCCTGGCAATTTACATATAAAGAAAAAGTATGTGTGGACAGACATGATTGTCAATGTCTTGAAGGAACACAGAATTAAGAAATAAAAAAAAAAAAAACTCATAAAAGTGTTAACATTTTTTAATCATTCTATATGTTATATAAAATGCACTTATAACACTTTTTGCAGAGTGCACAGATACTACGATCTGATTACAGTTAGAGCACACAGTTATTGTGCTGATCCATACATAAATAAATCCCATCATTTTTTACAGATATTATGCTAACATGTTAGGATGAGAAATTTTCAGCACACCCTTGAGTACATGCGTGTGTGTGTGTGTGTGTGTGTGTGTGTGTGTGATCCTTGTATTTTTCAATATTAAAATGAACATTGGGAACAAATTAAAAAAAAAATTAAAAAATAGTATAACTCTACAGTGGGCACTTATTAAAAAGTGTGTATATATATATATATATATATATATATATATATATATATATATTCAACAGCTGCTTATATTATAAATAAAACAACAAAGTAATTATTCACACTATTTACATTGTCCTCATCTTTGTTGTTGTTATTAAAATAGCCTAGTGGATTAAAACATTGGTTCTTGAATTTGGTGACAGTAATTCTGAGTTCAATCCCTGAGCTGGGCAATGTTGTACTTGGACTCAATGGAAATGGGGCAAGCAATAAATGAGCAGTACTAAAAATAAGAACTAGACAAGATATCCCTAGATTTGGGCAGTGGATTGAGAACAGCCTAAATAAATTAAATTAAATAAAGGGTTCTGATCAGAATTCCCTGTAGGTTACATGGATAGATACGCATTTGAAGGATGGAGGGCACAACAGCTAAAATGTTGTGATAGTAACAACAAAAATGAGGACAATAGTCCGAATGTAAATAGTGTAAATAATGATAACTCTTCATCCGAGAAATTCAGACAGAAATCAAATAACGTTACTATCATGGTTCAAAGTATATTAAAAAAAAAAAAAAAGTAAAAGAAAACCAAAAAAAATAAATAAAATAAATAAAAAAAAATAAAATTAAACTGTCAGCCTCACATCAAGATCTTTTTCTTTCATAAAACATCCAAAAATATTTTTAGTTTGTACAAATATCTTTTTCTTTCATAAAACAAGAAGCCTATAATAAAAATAATCAAGAAACCTGGCCTTCTTCAGTTCAGATGGATTTGTCAATTTTACAAAATTTCCAATATAGATAATTTACTTAGCAGATCTTATACTAGCACAAGTGTAGACCACCTAGGAAGGATCATAGTAATCGGCAACATAACTAGCTTACTATTATACCAGTGTATTAATTGATTTGTTTTTTATGGTTTATCAACCCTTTGTGGGTTATTTAAAGCTGAAACATATTTCAGATTGTAGGATGTTGCTTACAGTTCCTGCTTAACTTTGGTGATCAATTAAGAACTAATTCTTTCAGAATGATTTAACAGTAAGCTTTTATGCCCAATATGTACTGATAAAAATTCATTGGATTTATAATATGCAATAAGGAACAAATCCACAGATATTGGTGTTTTAGACCAGTGTTTCCCTAACATTCTCTCACTACTGTCCGCTTTGCCCCCAGGCTACA